CGCGCGGGACGTCCTCTCTCCGTCTAGTTGTACTCGATGGGCGGGAGGAAGTTGCCGCAGCGCGGGAAGTTGGGAGGCACGGGCGGCAGGTCGGCGTGGGTGCCGACGTGCACCACCAGGTTCATGCCGATCACGATGTGGAACAGGAAGTGGCAGTGGAACAGCCAGTAGCCTGCAGGGCAGAGGAAGGGTTCATCAGCTTCATTTCACTCGAACAACGACCAAGCAGGCGTCAGCAGACAAGCCTTCTCGACATCTAAATCACTTGTGAAGCATCGTCACACTTCTCACATTGGCCCGGCGGCAATGTGTGACACCCACGCATTTATTTGCACTGGTTTTTATTTTGCACAGATTGTGCGACCGGGGGTTCAACGACTCGGCGACGCCGCCGTATCTGCCGTATCCCGCACATACTGCAGACTCACGACCCCGGAGCAGACAGGCCGCGCGGTGCATACGGGTCAGCTGGGCCGGATGCACTCGCGACCGGAAACAGCCCGGCGTCTCTCTCGCTCGCTCTCGCAGAGCCGAGGGTGCCGCCGAGGGACATTTAATTGAGATCGACCTGTCCAGGCCAGGCCGTCCGGCGCCGTCCAGACGATGACTCTCGCCGCACCTGGATTGTCTTATCGCTCGTCTCATCGCACCATATCTCTCTCTCTCTCTCTCTCTCTCTCTCTCTCTCTCTCTCTCTCTCACCTGGGTTGTCGGCCCGGAATCGGAAGACGACGTATCCGTTGTTGGGCACGGCGATGGTGTCCTTGGAGGGCGGCAGGTTGAACTGACGGTGCAGCAGACCGCGTCGGTCCAGGTCAAGCGCGTGCTTCAAGTTGATCTTCTTGACGTTCTTGTCGGGACTTCTGCCCATACCGATGACGTTGAAGGCGTAGCCGTGCAGATGGAAGGGGTGACTGAGGTTGGGTTGTTGGACTGGTGAGAGAGAACAGCCGTTAGCCACAGTCCTGTTCAGCCAAGACTTGGAAAACAAAATACATAACAGCAGCATTTAATGAAATAAAATAAAATTGTTTATGATAGTGTGTTTTTTTTTAAATACATTTTGAAAACTAATTTAAAGTGTTCCGATAAAAAGTGAATGACAAAGTCGAAAATATACGTGAGTGCAAATAGTCTACTTTGTACAGCTCGATCAGTATCACCAACATCGGCATGCAAATTGTATGATACATGGGAACGGAAATGGAACGATGACTGACCCAGCTTGACATACGTTCCTGTGATGCTCTCTTACCTGGTATGGCAGTTTACAACAGAGACTCGATGAGAAGTGATCGAAATGGCAAATGATAAAGAAAGAAGGCTGTTTCGAAGAGGCAAGGCGGTCGACGGGTATCGGCCGCTGGGGCCGCGTAGCCGGACGTGTCCGGGAGCCCAGCGGGGCGTGTACTCACCCTCGTCGACGAGGACCACCTCGACCACGGCGTTGAGCGGAATGTCGACCTTGTGCGTGCACATGCAGTTGGTGCCGCAGTCCGCCGGCTTGTTGTCGCCGTTGCAGAACTGGTCCGGGCTGATGTCCTCGATCTGCGAGAGGGGCGGCGCGGGCGGCGACTGGTACGAGATCTCATCCACCAAACTGATGACGTGATCGCCGCTGGGGGCCACTGCGAAAGCAACCGGACCGACCGTCAGTGACTCTCATTGTGAGCTGTTCGTGTGTGTGTGAGTGTGAGCGAGTGGAGACGATTGTACACACGGGTGAGATGGGGTCGAAATGAAAGGTCATTCTGCTGTATCCCCAATGGAAGCGAAATACGCTATTTCAGAGAAATGGGAAGGAAGAACAACACGAAAAACAAGGAGGCCTGTGATTCGTCGCTCAGTTCGAGGGGGAAACCGGGCGACAAATCGTGGGCTACCTGTTTATTCGTGCTGGTCTTCTTTCCCATTTTTCTGAAATAGCTTATGGAAGCTGTCTGATTTTTCGGCATCCACTCGGTCCACTTTTCAGTACATTACACGGGAAGTGCCGGAAACGGCAAAATAAATGACTTTGGCCAATTTCAGTTCCGTCTTAGAGACAGCAGAATATCCTAAAATGTATCGAGGTGCACCCTTACGTCAAACACTACATGGTCGAATACAACAGTGCGGAATATTCTTTCAATGGTACGGCTGTGATGACAAAAATAAAAACGTGTCTATACACTGTGAAATAAACCAAATGCTCTACACCATCCCCAACACAGTCAACACAATGTACTCTGAAAATAAAATTACAGGTGCAACTTGATCTACAATCTGCGTCCCAAATCTACAGCGGCAGCAGCGGCGGCGGCAGTGGTGGTGGGTGATGTGGTGGTGCTGGTGCCTGTACACCCGGACGACGCCGTCCTGGGCTGTGTGCACCGGGGGCGGCGGCGGGGGCCTGTCTGTACCTTCGTCGACCACCACGACCTCGACGACGGCGTGCAGCGGGATGTCCACCTTGTGGACGCACATGCAGTTGGCGCCGCAGTCGAAGGGCCGGCTGTCGCCGTTGCAGAAGAGCGCCGGGTCGATGTCGCGGACCTGAGACAGGGGCGGCGCGGGCGGGAACACGAAGGAGATGCCGTCGATGAGGCTGATGACGTGGTCCCCGCCCGGGGCCGCTGAGATAGGCTGCTTAGACAAACTACCTCCGCTCAAACTGGGACGACGACCGTGATATACAGTTTTCTTTCTCTTTTCCACGCCATACAAAACAATAAAAAAACAAAAAACTAAGGTTCGAAGCCCTGGAAAGTTTCTGGGAAATTTCCGGAATTTTTTTTTCGAGGTCTGGGAAATTTTTCATCTTTTTCCAGGAAAATTTCGTGAGTTTTTCGTAAAAATGCCGGAAACTTTCAACCCTTAAACCACACAGAATGGAAATCTTCAGAAATTTCCAACCCTGAAAAACACAGAATGCACAGCAACTTTTTGATACGTTTCTCAAAAGTATGAAAACAAAAGCAAACACCCCAGCTTTGCATGTCATGTCATCCTGCAAGTGCCGCGCCGCCAGAGGGACGTGCAGTCGTGGTGCTCACCGCCTCAGCCTCACCACCGGGGGGCGGCTGGCGGCGCCGTCACCTCACCACCGCCGCTCGCTCACCACCACCACGGCGCGGCGGCGCCTCACCATGTACGGGGCACTAATTACCATTCGCCGACGGCTGGGCGTGGCGCGGGGCGGCTCACCGCGCGGCTTACGAGGATAGAGGAAGGTGAGGTCCGCGCAGAGAAGGCCGCGGCGGCAGCGCGCTAACTCGCCGCATGAAATCAATCTATTGACGACTGCCGTCCCGCCCCGCCCCGTCCCGTCGCCGCGGCTGCCGCTAGTACGGGGGGGGGGGGGGGGGATGCGGTTCCGCCTCGCAGTACGAGGTGCGGCGCAGCGTGGAATGTGGGCCGGCGGTCCGTCGGTCCGGCGATGGTCTGTCGCACGTTATCTGGTCCAGGCAGATCCTCCTCTCCTTCTCCTCTACCTTGCGCAACCATGCAGATGACTTTCACTGCGGTGGCCCGCAGTGCCGTGTGTGGCCGGGAGCTCCCGCGCCCGGGCGGCACTACACACAAGGGCTCGAGGCACAAATCACGTGACTACCTGGTGCCCCCCCCCCCACAACAAGCGGGTGCGCATGTCGTGGCGGCCCCCCCATGAGTTTTGTACTTCCTTAGAGCGCCAGGGACGTCGTGAGCACTTTTATGACAAACCTTCGATTTAAATATAGGGAGCTTCTCGGGACAGAAGGTAACATTGTTCCTGGAGGGCTGAGTACATCATGGTGACTGGAAATCCAATAATAGCCCTGAATTAATTTTAAATGTGAAGAGAGCCGCGCGAAAAAGTAAACCCCGCACCGCCGCACCTCAGTAAGAATGATGCCAAGTTGCGGATAGCAAAAGAGCAAACGCCTTGTTCACTGCTCTCCGACTCCCCCCAATCTGAATATGTAGGGGGCGGCGCGCTGCTACACAGCTGCATTGTAAAATATAACGAGAAGCAAACAAAAACAATGGGCGGCCGCTAAGGAGGGGAGGGGGGGAGGCTGGGCGTAACGCCCGCCGACCTGTTCTTCCTGCACCTCCTCTTTATCGGCGATCAGTTCCGACAGCGAGAGTGAGCCATAAACCAGACCGTGGGAGCGGCAAGTGAGTGGGAGTGAGAGGGACGAGGGACGGATGGGGATCAAGACCTCTGCGACCCCCTCCTCGCTCCTCGCTCTGTCTCCCCGGCGAGTCCCAGCGGGCGGCCGGTGACGGGACAGCCTCGACGACCGCAATTTTGAAAGGGGCAAAACCTCGGCTGTGGACGCCCCTTTTGAAAAGTCGAATAAACAAACAGCAGAGTTGTAGTTTGATGGTCGGGTGGCCGACCGGCCAGCAGCCACACGGCGGAGCGTGGTAGTTTCACGTCCTGAGAAACTTTGGAGAGTGAAAGGGAGCTCGGGGAAATAACGACATGGTTAGGGAAGGACCTGAGGGCCGGACCTGCTGGGCTGGGACAAACTCCGCGGAGACAAACCCGTCGCGTCGACCGCTCCAGTCCGCGGACCGCCCGCGGGGTCCGAAAACGGACACGAATTGCGTACGCGAGAGG